TTCACACAACTGGGTCTGTGGTGGTCACAATAGAAGCACGATAAGGGCCCTTCTCCGCCCCTTTATCCCCTTTTCTAATGGACTGAAAGGGACGTTGTATGGGTTCTATGGGTTGTATGGGTTGTACGGGTTGTATGGGTTTTATGGGTTGTATGGGTTGAGCGGGTAGTTTCCGGCTCATGCACTTCAAGCATTCCGCTACCCATTTCTGCACATCCACCAACATTCCCCACCAATAGTAGTTCTGTTTAAAGGTTAAGAGTATCTTTCGGTGACCCAGATGTACCAAGCGGTTAATGTGGATTTCGTGGAATAGTTGTTGATGCAGAGCTTCTGGTAGTACAAGACAACGCCTCTGAGACATCGAGAATCCGTGGCACACAATGAAGTGCAGCTCCAGTAACACCTCCCCTTGTGGTGTGTGTGTCTCTACCCGTTCTTGTAGCGCTCGAAAGGAGCTCTCAGCCAATTGTAGCGTGATCTATTCCATGCCAGGTGACAGTCTGTTGGAGCCATAGCATGACCGTCCCCTATAGACTGCACCAGCGCAACCACAGATGATGTCCTAGGGCGCTGCTGTCTGCAATGAGCCGCCCCTGAATCACATGAGCAGGATTCCAATGGTGGCAGTCGTGATAGTGCGTCAGCATTATTGTGTCACAAGCCTTTCCGGTGCACACTTTTGTATTTGAACTTCTGGAGTCGTTCCATCCAACAAGCGATCTGACCCGATGGATGGGCTATGCATAACGAATGTTGAAGTGCTGCATGGTCTATGCACACCGTGAACAGTCGTCCACAGAGATATGGCCTAAATTGCTGTACAAAGTGGACAACCGCCAGTAGCTCCTTGTGGGTTATGCAATAGCGTTGCTCGGCCGGAGACAGCACGCGACTGCTGTAGGCTATGACCACCTCTACTCCATTCTGCAATTGTGACAAAACTCCCCTGATGCCTACATCACTCGCATCAGTGTCAAGAATGAACGGCAGAGAAAAATCAGGGTATGCTAGAGTCAGAGCCTTGGTCAACTGATCACGCAAGGTAGTGAAGGCCTTTTCTTTGGCCTCCCCCCAGTGAAACCTCTGGTTTTTGCCAGTCAGTGCATGCAGGGGCTTGGCAATGCTCGTAAATTGCAGCAGGAAGCGGCAGTAATATAACACAAAGCCAACAAACCTCCTGACCTCGGAACAGGGCCAGATCATGGTCCCGTGAGGTCTCTGGGCACATGTCTTTTGGAGCCCCCCCCGACCGCTTTCCTATATTCGTGTCTTTCTTGCCTTCCTCCTCGCAAAATCATCCACTAGATCATCAAAATCTAGCTGTCTGACAAGGTCTGACTCTATTGACATAAGTGACAATGAGCTGAGACGTGTATGGCACATGCTACTCTGCAGCTCATTTTTATTCTTTCTAGATTTGAAGCTTTCGTGACTGCAAGGATTCATATTCTTAGGTTTTTTCGGTAAAGTCACGTAGGTAAAAAATTAAAATTAATAAAAGTAAAATAAAAAATAAAAATAAAAATCACGACGTTTCGGAGGCAACACAAGCTTCCGTCTTCAGGTGGAACAGTCACAGCACGATAGCTGTATCAAGTGAGAGAAATTCCAAGAAAACCGCATCTTTATATATACTGGTTGAGGGTGGGAGGAGCCAAGGTAGGACCTGAATATTATTTTTGTGAAGTTCGGTGCGGCTGAAGCACGCTGTTGGGAATGAGCCTTTGTTGTGTAAACTAGGTGCGGATGATGTAAAGGTGCATGTAAAAGGGACTGAGCCTTTTTGTTATGTAGAGATGATGCGGCTGAAATCGCTGCCAGGAAATTAGTCTTTGTTGTGTAGAATGGTTGACTGAGCCTATTATTATGTAGAGGTGGTGCGGTTGAAATCGCTGCCAAAAATGCTCCAAATATGTGTAGTTAAATCTTTTTTGCATGGTTGATAACATCTAAAAGGGAAAATGTCCGCTCACCCTGGCAGTTTGTCACTGACAAAGTAAGAAAAATCCGAAGTGACACGAAAACGTTGGGGAACACTGACTGCAGATTAAGTGCCTGCAACGTCTGAAGCAATTTAGTTGGGCAATTCTCACCCTCAGAGTCAGACATGAAATACTTTAATTGGATGAGTTCGTTAGAAAAGTTCATGTCCAGGTCTGATGGATATGCAGCGGAGAGTGCATTGACCTTTTCCACTATGACACCACTGTTAGACACCTGTTCTGACATAAACAGAACTCCAAAGAGACTGGTCAAGCGCTTGTAAGCGTCCAAGCGATGTTCAAGGCATGCCACTAGCTTATTAATGACCACATAAAATGTTTTTTTTTTACTTCTCCCTCCTCTCAAGTGTCACACCTGGCTCTGAGCTCTAATCTGCAAATGTTTAGCGTTTCCTCTTTCGCTGAAGATCGTGCTTATATGAGTGAGAGACACCTGTCACATAACGCCAGTCTGACATCTGTCTTCCGAAAGACTTTCCCCCATCTGTGTGTGGATGAAGAGCAAAATGTGTAGTGACTGCAACATGTTAAAAAACTCGTCAGCCTCTGGGCTACTGCTGTCTAAGGTGTTAACACCAACTATGTTAAGTGAATGTGCTGCACAAGGCACATACTCTATCAGAGGTTTTTTTTGTTTCAGGTGGGCCTGTAGCCCATTGTATTCTGCTGACATGTTGCTTGCATTGTCATATGACTGACCTCCATAGTTTGAGAGGTCCAACCCAAGGCCCTCCACCATCAAAGTCACACAGTCTGCTAAACTTTTACCAGTGTGGCTCTCAATTGGCTCAAAGCCCATGAATCGCTCCACCACATTCCCGCTGATGTTAACAAACCAGAATATGAACGTCAATTGGTCCACATGTGACAGGTCTGGGGTGGAGTCAACACTTATTGAAAAATATTTGGTATCCAGAATCTCTAGATTTGAAACGTTCATGACTGCAAGGATTCATACTCTTAGTTCTTTCGGTAAAGTAACGTAGGTAAAAAATGAAATTAAAATTAATAAAAATAAAACAATAAAATCACGACGTTTCGGAGGCAATACAAGTCTCCGTCATCAGGTGGGACCGTCACAGCCAGATTTGCTGCATCAAGTGAGGCAGGGATTCCACCGGAGTAACCAGAATAGGGGAATCTGGCCATGTTGTAACAAAGGGATTTCGATGTCGAAGAGGGACCAGCATCTGTGCTGCCGGCAGAATAGTGACAGACTTTCTGACCAGAGCCTGCACAGAGAGCACCCCAGGTTGGGTATCCACCCCCGCGACCTCGGTCCTTCTTGCCTCTGGAATTGTTGAGAAGATGGTCAAGGCGTCGTCATCGAGGACTGTGGGTAGGGCTTTCAGCGCCTCTTCCTCTGACCACTCCAGGTTCTTGTAGGACACTTAAAATCGCCATACAAAAGCGCCCCAGTCGCCTCTCACCACCATCAACTCCTTCATGGGACCCAGCTTGTGGTTCCAGGCCCTCCTTCCATGGTCTCCACGTTCGTCACTTGGAGATGGCTGTCTCCTGCTTGCCTCTCTTCGTTCTTGTCTGCCCGTCCTCTGTGACTGTCGAGGTGACTTTCTCTCTTCTTCCACAGGTATATTCACCTGTTGTCACTCACTCTCCCCGAGGAAGAGAGAGCAATTTTCCAGTTCTCTCTCCAATCGAGGATTCTCCCTGGGTAGCGCGGTAGCCTCTGTGGCTGGGCCTGTGATGGTGGACACCATCCCTGTTGCAAGCACTGTCTGATGATGTGGTTTTTTTGACGATCCTGGAGGTGGTTCTTTCTGTGGTATCTCCTGTCTGACCGGCCAAGCAAGGTAGTCCCCTTGCTTGACCGGTTCCCTCCGACATTTGTTGTAGTAGCAGGAATACGGCATCTGTGAGACGATCCATTCGCTCTTCCATCCGTCTCCATCCCCTGGTCGTCTGTGGCCCTTCTGTATCCAGCATCTCTCTCTTCAGCTTGCTGCCCCAGCTCTGCCCCTTCATGGAATGTGGCCACTAACAGGCTTCTTAATGGTCGGTCTTCTGGGCCATTTCGGCCCGGGGCGCTTGGGGTGGTCGCTGCCCCATCCTCGTCTTCTCCTGGAGTCTCAGTGGGGTTCCTTTTGCGACCAGCGTGAGACATCTTGTCGTCGATCCCACCACTGCCACCACTGTAATAACTCCAACACGTTGGTTGTAGAAAAGGTGCGAGAAGATTTGATTATCTTCTGCAACTTGCGTTCATGTCAACTTCCACCATCAAAAGCCCCGAGCCTTCCCCCATTCTCTTCTCCTCTCTCTTTCCTGCTCTCTCCCGTTTCTGTCCATCCAATCAATTCTGTCCTCCAGTCCCTCGTCATACCTCTTTTCATCTCCCAGTTTCTGCGTGCACCTTCCGACCTCTCACCTTCCGAGTCGGAAGGTACGTCTGACGTCATTCATCTTCCTCCACCAACGGCAAGTGAGTTTATTCGTAGGTGCGCTCTTTCAGCCAATAGGGAGCCATGTCGTTCGTCGGCTCCACGGTCCAGATAATGCTCACGCATGTGTCTGACTGCCTCTCCGTTTGTGCAGGTAAGTACTCTATAGTTACCTGCACAAATGGAGTACGCTGCTATATTTCTTCCTGCCTCAGCAGTCCGCCTGCTGTATTTTTTCACCTGGAGACGATTGCTTGTGTTGCAATCGAAACGTCATGATTTAAATTGTTTTTATATCTACGAGACGTTACCGAAAGACCCTAAGAGTAAGTACTCTATACTTTTGTTATCCTACCCCCCGATCCTTCCTTCCCCCAATTTATCGCCCCTTCCTTAAACCCAGGAGCAACGAGCCCTGGGAGTTTTGTCCACGGAGTTTTTGTGCCCCCTCTGCGCATGGTTAAAGTTCATGCTTTGTACTGGGCTCCTCTTGAGTAAAAAAAAATCGCCACGATAAGCGGGCAACTGATGACGGACAGTGTGCGACTGACCCGAGTGAATCCGTGACCGCTGTCGTTTGTTGTTGCTACAGAGGTCCTGTGGACTGCCCCTGAGCTGCTAAGGATGGAAGTGGTCCCTCCCCAGGGCTCCCAGAAGGGTGACGTCTACAGCTTCGGGATCATCCTGCAGGAGGTCGCGTTCCGCTGCGGCCCCTTCTACATCGAAAACATGGACCTAAGTCCCAAAGGCACCGCTTGCACCTTGCGCCGGGCACTCGATCGTTTCCCCACTCAGTCTCTTCAGGGTCACTGCCGGTAGGCCGGCGTAGATGGGACGTGACTTGTCGTCGCTACAGTCACAGCAAGAGGTATGGTGGATGTGGTGTGCTGGGTATGCGGAAACAGTTTGCACATCCCCGACCAAGCATCTAGATATGAGGATGTCTTTAATAGATTTATCGCGATCTTATTTAATGTGTGTTGAAGTGGCCATTTATAATTGATTTAGAGCAGCCAGCAGAGAAAGCAGATATCACAGAAGCATGTCTGAGATGCCTTTAAGTGAATATTTTTTGCAATAGGTATATTAGTTGAAAGGTATACTAGTTGGAAGGTTCTTCTCTCCAATAGCGACCCCTAAACATTCGATTATGCTCAAATGTCAAGGTTATGCATAATTCAACAACAAGAAACAACCACGATCATCAAACGTATATTGCACCATGTGGTTGGGGGGGAATTATTGAGGCAACGTACATTATGCATGTGCATTATGTGAGCCCTTTGAACTTGTCCTTCCTGTCTATTGTGTTTATTAAAATAGCCCTACCAACGGATATCACTATTGAAGTACGCTTCCCTTTGTAGGAATGCATTTAAATAACGTATTATTTGATGATTTGCTTCCACACAGCACTAAGGCGGTAACTATCCGAACGGTTAAAGTTATTTTGATTTCTTACTAGTTGGCTGTGTTGGGTGGTGGTGGGTTTTAACAACACATTTATATATTTACGCGATCTAACCCAAAAACCTCGATTATGGATGATATTGGTCGCGAAATCCGACGTGTTAAATGGAATATACTTCTTCCGTGTGCCATGAGCCCTGACCCCAGACACCTTCCTGCCTACTCCCCTGCCTCCCTTCGTGCACTCTGTTGCGCGCGCCCACCACAGAGATCGTTCAGAAGGTGAAGAACGGGCAGCGGCCCCACTTCCGGCCGAGCACAGACACGAGCCGCCACGTGGAGGAGCTGGGCACGCTCATGCGGCGCTGCTGGGCCGAGGAGCCCTCCGAGAGGCCAGACTTTGGCTACGTCAAGATCCTGCTGAGGAAGTTTAACAAGTGCGTGCCCGAGTTTAGCGTCGCCACACTCTATGGGCAGTGCTGAGTCTATGGGTAGTGCTGAGTCTATGGGCAGTGTTGAGTCTATGGGCAGTGTTGAGTCTATGGGCAGTGCTGAGTCTATGGGCAGTGTTGAGTCTATGGGCAGTGCTGAGTCTATGGGCAGTACTGAGTCTATGGGCAGTGTTGAGTCTATGGGCAGTGTTGAGTCTATGGGCAGTGCTGAGTCTATGGGCAGTGCTGAGTCTATGGGCAGTGTTGAGTCTATGGGCAGTGTTGAGTCTATGGGCAGTGTTGAGTCTATGGGCAGTGCTGAGTCTATGGGCAGTGCTGAGTCTATGGGCAGTGTTAGTCTATGGGCAGTGTTGAGTCTATGGTGCAGTGTTGAGTCTATGGGCAGTGTTGAGTCTATGGGCAGTGTTGAGTCTATGGGCAGTGTTGAGTCTATGGGCAGTGCTGAGTCTATGGGCAGTGCTGAGTCTATGGGCAGTGTTGAGTCTATGGGCAGTGTTGAGTCTATGGGCAGTGTTGAGTCTATGGGCAGTGCTGAGTCTATGGGCAGTGCTGAGTCTATGGGCAGTGTTAGTCTATGGGCAGTGTTGAGTCTATGGTGCAGTGTTGGGTCTATGGGCAGTGTTGAGTCTATGGGCAGTGTTGAGTCTATCGGCAGTGTTGAGTCTATGGTGCAGTGTTGAGTCTATGGGCAGTGTTGAGTCTATGGGCAGTGCTGAGTCTATGGGCAGTGTTGAGTCTATGGGCAGTGCTGAGTCTATGGGCAGTACTGAGTCTATGGGCAGTGTTGAGTCTATGGGCAGTGCTGAGTCTATGGGCAGTGTTGAGTCTATGGGCAGTGTTGAGTCTATGGGCAGTGTTGAGTCTATGGGCAGCGCTGAGTCTATGGGCAGCGCTGAGTCTATGGGCAGTGTTAGTCTATGGGCAGTGTTGCGTCTATGGTGCAGTGTTGAGTCTATGGGCAGTGTTGAGTCTATGGGCAGTGTTGAGTCTATGGGCAGTGTTGAGTCTATGGGCAGTGTTGAGTCTATGGTGCAGTGTTGAATCTATGGGCAGTGTTGGGTCTATGGGCAGTGTTGAGTCTATGGGCAGTGTTGAGTCTATGGGCAGTGTTGAGTCTATGGGCAGTGTTGGGTCTATGGGCAGTGTTGAGTCTATGGGCAGTGTTGGGTCTATGGGCAGTGTTGAGTCTATGGGCAGTGTTGGGTCTATGGGCAGTGTTGAGTCTATGGGCAGTGTTGAGTCTATGGGCAGTGTTGAGTATATGGGCAGTGCTGAGTCTATGGGCAGTGCTGAGTCTATGGGCAGTGTTAGTCTATGGGCAGTGTTGAGTCTATGGGGCAGTGTTAAGTCTATGGGCAGTGCTGAGTCTATGGGCAGGTAGGTTGAGTCTATGGGCAGTGGTTGAGTCTATTGGCAGTGCTGAGTCTATGGCGAGTGTTGAGTCTATGGGCAGGCTGAGTCTATGGCAGTACTGAGTCTAATGGGTGGGCATTGTTGAGTGTAAGGCAGTGTTGAGATCTATGGGCAGTCCTGGTCTATGGGCAGTGCTGAGTCTAGGGCAGTGTTGAGTTCTAGGGCAGTGTTTGAGTCTGGGCAGTGTTGAGTCTATGGGCAGTGCTTGATCTATGGGCAGTGCTTGATCTATGGGCAGTGTTAGTCTATGGGCGTGTTTGAGTCTATGGTGCAGTGTTGAGTCTATGGGCAGGTTGCGGTCTATGGGCTTGTTGATTCTAATGGGGGCAGTGCTGATTTATGGTGTCCAGTGTTGAGTCTATGGGCATGTTGAGTCTATGGGCAGTGCTGAGTCTAATGGGCAGTGTTGAAGTCTATGGGCAGTGTTGAGTCTATCTATGGCATGTTGAGTCTATGTTGTCTGTGAGTCCCGATGGGCAGTGTTGAGTCTATGGGCAGTGTTGAGTCTATGGGCAGTGTTGAGTCTATGGTGCAGTGTTGAGTCTATGGGCAGTGTTGAGTCTATGGGCAGTGCTGAGTCTATGGGCAGTGTTGAGTCTATGGGCAGTGTTGGGTCTATGGGCAGTGTTGAGTCTATGGGCAGTGTTGGTCTATGGGCAGTGTTGAGTCTATGGGCAGTGTTAGTCTATGGGCAGTGTTAGTCTATGGGCAGTGTGAGTCTATGGGCAGTGTTGAGTCTATGGGTAGTGTTGAGTCTATGGGCAGTGTTGAGTCTATGGGCAGTGTTGGTCTATGGGCAGTGTTGGTCTATGGGCAGTGCTGAGTCTATGGGCAGTGTTGAGTCTATGGACAGTGTTGAGTCTATGGGCAGTGTTGAGTCTATGGGCAGTGTTGAGTCTATGGGCAGTGTTGATTTTATGGTGCAGTGTTGAGTCTATGGGCAGTGTTGAGTCTATGGGCAGTGCTGAGTCTATGGGCAGTGTTGAGTCTATGGGCAGTGTTGAGTCTATGGGCAGTGTTGAGTCTATGGGCAGTGTTGAGTCTATGGGCAGTGTTGAGTCTATGGGCAGTGCTGAGTCTATGGGCAGTGTTGAGTCTATGGGCAGTGTTGGTCTATGGGCAGTGTTGAGTCTATGGGCAGTGTTGGTCTATGGGCAGTGTTGAGTCTATGGGCAGTGTTGGTCTATGGGCAGTGTTGAGTCTATGGGCAGTGTTGGTCTATGGGCAGTGTTGAGTCTATGGGCAGTGTTGGTCTATGGGCAGTGTTGAGTCTATGGGCAGTGTTGGTCTATGGGCAGTGTTGAGTCTATGGGCAGTGTTGAGTCTATGGGCAGTGTTGAGTCTATTGGCAGTGTGAGTCTATGGGCAGTGTGAGTCTATGGGCAGTGTTGAGTCTATGGGCAGTGTGAGTCTATGGGCAGTGCTGAGTCTATGGGCAGTGTTAGTCTATGGGCAGTGTTGAGTCTATGGGGCAGTGTTAGTCTATGGGCAGTGCTGAGTCTATGGGCATGGTGAGGTCTATGGGTAGTGTTGGAGTCTATGGGCAGTGTTGAGTCTATGGGCAGTGTTGGGTCTCATGGGCAGTGTCTTGGTCTATGGGCAGTGCTGAGTCTATGGGCAGTGTTGAGTCTATGGCCAGTGTTGAGTCTATGGGCCAGTGTTGAGTCTATGGGCAGTGTTGGGTCTATGGGCAGTGTTGAGTCTATGGGCAGTGTTGGGTCTATGGGCAGTGTTAGTCTATGGGCAGTGTTGGGTCTATGGCAGTGTTGAGTCTATGGGCAGTGTTGGGTCTATGGGCAGTGTTGAGTCTATGGGCAGTGTTGGTCTATGGGCAGTGTTGAGTCTATGGGCAGTGTTGAGTCTATGGGCAGTGTTTTTGGTCTATGGGCAGTGCTGAGTCTATGGGCAGTGTGTGAGTCTATGTACAGTGTTGAGTCTATGGGCAGTGTTGAGTCTATGGGCAGTGTTTGCGTCTATGGGCAGTGCTTGAGTCTATGGGGCCAGTGTTGAGTCTATGGGCAGTGTTGGTCTATGGGCAGTGTTGAGTCTATGGGCAGTGTTGGGTCTATGGGCAGTGTTGAGTCTATGGGCAGTGTTGAGTCTATGGGCAGTGTTGAGTCTATGGGCAGTGCTGAGTCTATGGGCAGTGCTGAGTCTATGGGCAGTGTTGAGTCTATGGGCAGTGTGAGTCTATGGGCAGTGTGAGTCTATGGGCAGTGTTGTCTATGGGCAGTGTTGAGTCTATGGGCAGTGTTGTCTATGGGCAGTGCTGAGTCTATGGGCAGTGTTGAGTCTATGGGTAGTGTTGAGTCTATGGGCAGTGTTGAGTCTATGGGCAGTGTTGGGTCTATGGGCAGTGTCTTGGTCTATGGGCAGTGCTGAGTCTATGGGCAGTGTTGAGTCTATGGGCAGTGTTGAGTCTATGGGCAGTGTTGAGTCTATGGGCAGTGTTGGGTCTATGGGCAGTGTTGAGTCTATGGGCAGTGTTGGGTCTATGGGCAGTGTTGAGTCTATGGGCAGTGTTGGGTCTATGGGCAGTGTTGAGTCTATGGGCAGTGTTGGGTCTATGGCAAGTGTTGAGTCTATGGGCAGTGTTGAGTCTATGGGCAGTGTTTTGGTCTATGGGCAGTGCTGAGTCTATGGGCAGTGTTGAGTCTATGGACAGTGTTGAGTCTATGGGCAGTGTTGAGTCTATGGGCAGTGTTGCGTCTATTGGCAGTGTTGAGTCTATGGGCAGTGCTGAATCTATGGCAGTCCTTCGTCTTTGGTGCAGAGTTTGAGTCTATAATAATAACTCAACTATGAAAATATATTTTTTTCACCAGGTAAGGCCCATTAAGCTTTATAGCTATTTTTCAGAAGTGACCTGGCCACAAAATTATAGTTCAACGAAGTTGCTTATCACATGGGGATTTATAGCAGCTCAATCTAAATGCACGTTGATTCTAAAATAGGGAGGGGAAACCAAAGGACCAAGAGAAAAATCCACGGAACCACAGGGAGAACATGCAAACTCCAAATATACAAAGGTCAGGGTTGGGATTGAACCCACAATCTGCTGCATACCAGACGAGGGAGTTAACATCTCGCCACGGTGGCACCCCTGAATGAGAATGACAATGTCCTAATTTTGCACGGTTGTGGAGCGGTCCTGTAGTAGTCGACGCACCCGTGTTGTGAGCTCGATAAGCTTTGATACTCTGCACGTTACGTATAATGTCCGTGTAGTCGTCTCGTCTGGAGACAGAGTCGTCGTAGGAGGCAACACGTTTTATTTAGAATCATCACAGCAACACAACGACGAGGTCCCTGACACGGAGGGGTAACGGCCCCTCCCACCCACGACTAGGCCTCGGCAAGGTAAGGTAAAAGTTAAAAGGTAAAAACAACGAGCCTACCTTTACCCTACCTTTTTACCTTACCCCATACAAATTACCCTATTACAGGGTAATTACTAGGGAACTACTACACATGAACAAGGTTTATAACGGTAAATGCTAGGTAGAGCGCTTTATTCATATAGAATACTCTCAATGATTCCAAATTTACACGCTTGTTGTCGTTGTCATTGTTGTCGTTGTTGTCATCGTCGTTGTCGTATGCTCAAATCTTGTAACTCAATTTTAACCCACTTCCCAATGTGGTATCGACTGCAAACTTGGTATACTTATGTCATACTGATGACAATACTATATTCTATCAAAAAATATATATTTTTAAACATTATTTTTATGTTATGTTTCGGCTTGGCTCTAATTGTCCACGCTCAACTGACGTTGGCTGTAATTGGCCACGGTCCCTTACGTTATGGCAAGCTTCGGGGCCACTTCCTGGAGTCGTGGAGTTCTTCCATAACTAGTACATTTAATAAAAGCATGTTTTTAAAAAACTTTTTAAAATATTACTTATTAAATGGAGGCCACGGACTGCGCCACGGAGCTTTTAGCAGTAAACAAGGTACCGTATTTACCGGGTAATACTTTGCGCTACCTTTACCCTACCGGGTTATTCTTCCGAGCTACCTTTACCCTACCCTTTACCTTACCCCTTGGCATGTCGACACCTTTACCCTTTTACCCGGTAAAAAGGGTAATTTACCTTACCTTGCCGAGGCCTACCCACGACCTAGGGAGGTGCAGTCTCCGGGCTCACGTACCCTAGCCACCGGGCTAACTGCTCCCATGGCCCTCCGGCTAGCTGGACCTAGGGGAGGCTGACCCACCACCTCGCAATGGTAAGCACTGTGGCTTGACGCGCGCGTGTCCCGGCATGACCACCACATATGTATATATGTTGAACTTATTTCGCACGTACGTCGCCAAACGTGCTAATCAGAGGTGTGGGGGTAGGACAACAAACTAAACACAAAAAGCAGTTATTAAAAAATGTGTTTTTAATCTAGATTTAAAGGTGCATAGCTCCAGTCGCTTCCGAATATGGAAAGGAACATTATGAACTATGATGTCCTTAATATATTTCGATTGTTAGTCATTAAATATAATAAAGTAAAAAAAAATTGTAAACAAAAAACGCCATTCCTCAGCGGCAGTTGCCGCTCAGAGCTGCAGTGTCTCGCTCGGCTGTAAGAGAGGCCAAAAATAGAAGTGCAGGGCCCGCGCGCGACTTGAGCAGTTGGTGGGAGGACGTCCCTCGGACCTCCCATGGCAGCTTGGTCTGCGTTCCCAAGATGAGCGGTATATCCATCAAGTGTCTCCTCCCTACGTGCTCCTCCTACCCAGAAGATAGGAGGGGCACAGGAGGTACAACCACTCACAGGTGGCGGATCTAGAACCTTCCCAAAGGGGGTGGGAAGCGGCGGGGTGGGGGGGGGATCCCGAAATTTGAAGCTTTTTAATTAAATAGGGCCCTGGATTCATTATATATATATTTTCAAGAACCCAAACATCACAGAGGAAGCTACAAATCACGAACATGTTCCAACCCAGAACGATACACCCTCAAATGGGGGGGGGGGGGGGGGCATCTGGGAGGTACTTGGGCTCACTGCCCTACAACACACGGGGGAACGATTGAGAGTAGCAGAATTAATTATAATGAACAAAGACAATGCATTTTTTTTGGTAAATATCAATAAAAACACCACTTTTTTGTGTCTCAACAAAGGGGATGGGGTGTGGCGGAGGGGGGTTATGTCCCCTCCACCGCCCCCTCTCCCACCTTGCATCCACCTGCCACTAGTACAACTGCACCAATTGTAAGATGTTTTATTTAATTTCACGATCAACTGGAGAGTAAATATAGCTAGCGTCGGTGTAAGTAACGCCATGTGGCCCCGAGTGTAAATCTGGTCTTGAGTGGCCCTGCCACTGGACTCAGTCAGGAGGATCAATTTTGCCTGAAATTTAAATAAAAATTCATTTGTGTAACTGATGAACACAAGCCAGATACGAGCATAGAGCAAATTTACATGAGGGATAGTGAATAACAATACTAATTTACACACGCTCAATATGGCGATAGGGAAGATGGACATTGATTTGGGGGTCCACATCAATGTCCTGTGTGGAGGAGGGAAAATGAGTTTCGACAGGCCTCCTTCTACCAGTGCTGCCTCAGTTTCTTCTCGGGCCTGTAGAATTCTACCCATAATTTCCTGGTATTAAATATTTCTTCAAACTCTCTAGACAAACACGCGCAGCGCTTTTAGTCAATCCATTGCTGGATGAGGGCCTCCCAACAAATGTGTTGGTGATGTAGTTTTACCGTACTTCACCACTCTGGTCAGTGCCAAGTTGGTGAAGTTCAGGGAGAGCATACGTTTGGGAGCACAAGTACAGTACAAACATGGATGTTACTGGACCGGCCTCTGCTGCCTGTAACATCTTGCCAAGGTGGTGAGATGTTAACGACCTCGCCTGGTATGCAGGAGGTCATGCATTCGATCCCGACCCTGACGCCTGCTGTATATCTGGAGCTTGCATGCTTTCCTGTGGTCGCGTGGATTTTTTCTCCGGGTTCTCCAGTTTTTCCCTCCACATTTAAAAACATCCTTTTAGAGTATTTGGCTGCTTTAAATTTCCACATGAGAAGCCACTTCGTTGAGTTATCATTTGTGACCAGGTCTCTTCTGAAAATTAGCTATATAGTAGCTCAGTGGGCCTTAACTGGTCAAATAAACTAGTTGAGTTAAAAAAAACGTTTTCAGCAGTCGCAGATATTCCCTCTCATATGTATAGTGTCTTGAGATGTGGTTGCTTTTAGATGATCCATAAACCCTAATTGTAGGTTGTGAGGCCTGAACCTGGATTGACGACACTGTTGTTACTTGGACAGGGCTGAGTATGGGACAATTCTCAAGATCTACCGAGGACAGAGCCCTCTGGCATAGGACAGTCCATCTTGCCGCGGCAAGATCTCTGATCGAGGAATAACATTAACAAACATGGGGTTATTATTCTGGGTGTGTCAACCATAAAATACATGCCATCTGATTCAAAGTGGCCATCAGAGATCCTCTGAGATCCTCCAACGTCACTCGAAGCAAATAGAAAATTGTCAAGGTCCAACTTGCCAGATAAAAAAAAAATGACACTGCTTATTATTCAATTTGGGGTCACGCACAGCGACATCGCTCCTTGCCGTGACTCTACCTCAGCAGCAGCCTGTGTCTGAAACACGACGCCTTCTTTCGTGGTGACCGCCCTGCGCTATGAGAATGGTGTGAATATAAAATATTATCCTTGTTAAATTGCGTTGCTTTTACCATATTCTCTGTATTTCCAAGCTAATTTGGGGTGCGTCTTATAATCTGGTAGCTATGTGCATGTGTGTGATACCAGATTTGTTTCACTGCATTGATACCCGGGCACAAGTTTTGGGGTGTGTCTTACAGTGCACCGAGCATCTTCTAATCCAGAGATTATGGCAATTATTTTTTCTACAAAAAACTGTTGTGCTTTGCCCACAGAGAGCGCAGCAGCAACATATTGGACAACCTGCTGTCCAGGATGGAGCAGTACGCCAACACCTGGAAGGGCTCGTGGAGGAACGGACACAGGCCTACTGGAGAAAAACGCAAGGCCGAAGGCCCTGCTCTACCAGATCCTGCCCCAGTGAGCGCGCTTCCAACGCATCAATTAAAACCGGTCTAAGCCACCGTTACGCTCTATGACAGGGCATCCAGTCAGCCTCGGGTTCTCGAGACCAGTCCTCGAGGCCGGCTCGGGGACATTTTCCTGACTCTCGTTCTTGACCTTGGCCTCAGGTATGTGACCTCAATGCAATGACTAGTCTTAGAGGCACTAGTCTTCACACTGGCCTCAGTGTAGAGAACCTAGACTTGACCGGCCTTATATGCCTCAGTCAAAAGGATCTGGCCTTGACTGGACTTGACACTGGCCTCAGTCTTGAGCAGTGTTTTATATAACATTTCTGGGCCCTACACCACTGTCAACCACCAACATGGTTTCATGAAACTGCCATCACCAAAAAGCAAATTTTTAAAAATGAAAACGACTAATCTCAGTATCTGCAATGTTTTTGTAGACTGCTTCCACAGCCTTGCAGACCACCGGTGGTTTGGCAGACCACATGTTCTAGAAGATTCGGCCTTGACACTGGCCTCAATCTCAAGATCTTCAGGGCTTTGACTCTCGCCTTGGCCTTGTCTGTCTCATACTTAAACTGAAGACTGCGTGAAATCTTGCATGTAGGAATATATTGCTTTTGATTTGTATGTGGGAAAGTAGATGGTGCAACGGTTTACCGTACACTGCTACGAACCTGGCGACCTGAGTTCCCAGCCATGGATAACATCATTGGCAAAAATATTTGAATGGGTTCTGGGCCTCCCCGTTTTATTTCTCATCCCCCTTTTTCCAGTCCCGTCGCCGAGCAGCTGAAGCGCGGGGAGATGGTTGCGGGCCGAGGCCTTCGACAGCGTCACCATCTACTTCAGCGACATCGTGGGGCTTCACAGCCATCTCGGCCGCCAGCACGCCCATGCAGGCGAGACCTCCACCCTTCTGCTGCCTCCACCCTCCTGCTGCCTTCACCCTCCTGCTGCCTCCAGCTGCCTCCCCCTCCTGCTGCCTCCACCCTCCTGCTGCCTCCAGCTGCCTCCACCCTCCTGCTGCCTCCACCCTCCTGCTGCCTGCACCCTCCTGCTGCCTCCACCCTCCTGCTGCCTCCTGCTGCCTCCACCCTCCTGCTGCCTCCAGCTGCCTCCAACCTCCTGCTGCCTCCAGCTGCCTCCACCCTCCTGCTGCCTCCACCCTCCTGCTGCCTCACCCTCCTGCTGCCTCCTGCTGCCTCCACCCTCCTGCTGCCTCCACCCTCCTGCTGCCTTCACCATCCTGCTGCCTTCACCCTCCTGCTGCCTCCACCCTTCTGCTGCCTCCACCCTCCTGCTGCCTCCCCCCTCCTGCTGCCTCCCCCCTCCTGCTGCCTCCACCCTCCTGCTGCCTCCACCCTCCTGCTGCCTCCACCCTTCTGCTGCCTCCACCTTCCTGCTGCCTCCAGCTGCCTCCACCCTCCTGCTGCCTCCACCCTCCTGCTGCCTCCACCCTCCTGCTGCCTCCACCCTCCTGCTGCCTCCACCCTCCTTCTGCCTCCACCCTCCTGCTGCCTCCACTCTCCTGCTGCCTCCCCCTCCTGCTGCCTTCACCCTCCTGCTGCCTCCACCCTCGTGCTGCCTTCACCCTCCTGCTGCCTTCATCCTCTGCTGCCTCCACCCTCCTGCTGCCTTCACCCTCCTGCTGCCTCCACCCTCCTGCTGCCTCCACCCTCCTGCTGCCTCCACCCTCCTGCTGCCTCCTGCCTCCACCCTCCTGCTGCCTTCAGCCTCCTGCTGCCTCCTCCACCCTCCTGTTGCCTTCACCCTCCTGCTGCCTCCACCCTCCTGCTGCCTCCACCTTCCTGCTGCCTCCAGCTGCCTCCACGCTCCGGCTGCCTCCACCCTCCTGCTGCCTCCGCCCTCCTGCTGCCTCCACCTTCCTGCTGCCTCCACCTTCCTGCTGCCTCCAGCTGCCTCCAC